GTTCTACTCGAGATCAAATCTCCCACCATCTTGAGCCTCAAGGCCTACTGGGGGTTGAATCTTCCACCGTTTTGATGTTAATTGCTGTATCATTCCTTGAATGGCTGTGCTCTGCCCCCTTCCTGTCTCAAAAGTACCTAAATTATTAATTCCAGTTCAAGTTATCTTCCTCTTTAACCACACTATTAAAAGAAACCTTACATTATAAGCCATATTTTAAGGAATGTCCATGCTCACTTATTACCTGTTTTCTGCATCTGCATGGAGGTGGGGGGAAGAGAAAAGAATACAGTGAAAAAAAACAAAAAACAAAAAAAAACTATTACTCTAAGCCATTTTGGGCACTGTGAAGTCGCTTTTTCTTCTCAAGAAAATGTGCAGTCATTTCTTTTTCTCAACACACGTTCCAGACATTTTAAAAGGTTATTTCCTCAAAGAGCCACAAGACCCACAAAGGATTTCCTTGAAATATTTTCACTATTATAAATAAGCAAACAAACGAAAAGGCAAATCTATGTGTGTGTGTATATTTGTGAGGAAAAATTATACATATGTGTATAAATATGAATTTAATATACAAATATAAATAGGAATTGAATCTATATGAATATATGTGCATTTTAATTTTTCCCATTCAAATATTTATTAGTGCCGTTTTTTCAAGGAGTTCAGATTATTTCATGCAGATCTAATGAATCTTCAGTATTTCTTCAAGGTAAGTAAGAAAGCACCATTAACTACTTTTTTTTTAGGTCAAGGAAAAAGAGAATCAAATACGTAACAGAACAAGCTCTTTGTTTTTTTTGGTCACTCAAAAAAAGGTGCATTTTTATGCAATAAACATACAAAGTTCACAAGAAATATAATGTGTGTGTTTTTTGTATAGTTGGCTCTCTGTATCCATGCGTTTTGCATCCATGGATTCAATCATCCATGGGTTAAAAATATTCAGAAAAATAAATTCCAGAAAGTTTCAAAAAGCAAAACTTGAATTTGCAGTGCACTGGCAACAATTTACATAGCATTTACATTGTGTTTACAACTATCTCTACAGCATTTATACTGTGTTAGGAATTATAAGTAATCTAGAGATGATTTAAAGTATATACAGGAGGATGTGTGTAGGTCATATGCAAATACTATGCCATTTTATATAAGAAACTTGAACATCCATGGATTTTGGTATCCCTGGGCTGGGGGCGGGCAGCGTCCTGGAACCAATTCCCTGTGGATACCAAGGGATGACTGTGGAGTTTGACTGACTTCTTGTACTCAAATAAATTCTCATTGCCAAATATAAATTGTTCTAGCTCTTTCAAATTATAGAGATAAAACACTTATTTCAGTGATACCACTTTTATTTTCTATTATTTATGTTAACTATCTCTTGGAATTTTTTCAGAGCCAGACTCATGGTTTTTGCTTTTCATCAATTGTTCTGAATCAAAGGGAAAAACTCAAATTGATCAGTGAGGAATTCTGTGTGCGATGAGCACTTACAACAGTCATCTAGAGGCTTGCAAAAGTGATTTGTAATCCAGTAAGATCATGGTTGTGGACAGAACCCCGTGAATGGTTTAGAATCAAAGACTGCAATCGGGAAAGACAGCCTTAAGCCAGGGTTCTTGCAGAAGGATGCCCGCAGCCTGCAGCCACTGTTGCTGGCTTCTCCCTAGTGAGTTTACCTGGAAACGTGGCATTCTAAGGCCACAGTCCATTAAAGGGGAAAAAAAATCACAATCTGGGGGAGATTAGTGAAAAGATTAGTGAAAAGTACATAGATTTGGTAAAGACACAGAGCAAACTGAATTACTCTTCATACTACAGGTAGAGGAATTTATGACATAATCTGGACCTTAGTATTAGTATTCTTACCAGCAAAGCTGGGATGACAGTTTCTATTTCATATGACCAGTATGCAAACTTGATACTAAAATTCATGTGAAACACTTACTACATAACAGATTCCGAACAGATGTTATTTATTATTCCGATTCCTCCAAAAAAATGTTCTATAGTCAGATCTGCCTCATTTTTCTCTATTTTGCACATATAATTTCTTACGCAAGACCTAGGCAGTGTGCCTCAAAATTATGAAGGATGTGCCTGATTTCTTCAGATTTTCCATGTGTTCATGTATCCATTTACTTGATATCAATTTGACTTGCAACCAAACCTACTTGTCCTTTCTTTAAATCCTTTCAAGACTCTACAAGTGGGCTGCATTTTTATGTGACATATTTGACTTCTCAGGTGAAACTCCGTAATACTTAGGCCATAAAAATGACTCTCTTTGGGGCCAGGGCTCAAATTAATGAGCTTCATTGTAACATTCAGTAAGGAAATAAATTCATCAAATTTAAGTGTTTAATCTACTTGATATTTTCACCAATGTTTGCTTAAGTAAATTTGGTAGCAAACTACGTGTAATGGTAGGTACCATAAATTCTCTTCCATTTCACCTCCCAATCAATTAAATGAAAATATTCAGGAGTAATAAACTCAATATTGTGAATAATGAGAATAAAGAATGTATCCAGATATATTCATTAATTCAGAAATAAAATTTATTGACTTTTAATTCTTAATTTTGTTTTTACCAGTACAAACTAGGTTAACAGTCCATGCTGCTGAACAATCTTACACATAAGAGCTCAAAGGAAATATTTGATCAGGTATAGACAATATTACACTGTATTTTAGTTCAAACCCCTATAGTTAGCATAAATATAAAACCACAATCATGTTTACAAGGTTAAAAATTGTACAATAGCTCTGTATACTAAAATGTTATCAACAATACAGTTTGATAATCAAAATATCAGCTGGCTGATTTTGCTTTTCTGATGCATATTAATCTTTTCCTGGCATGACAATGCTAGTTACAAAAACTGACCGTTCTTTCAATATATTTTCATTCCCAGTATGCATTACTAGTTGGCAAATTCATTTTAATTGGCAGTAAGGTGGGAATTCAGTCCACAGTGCAAAGATTCATTTTGATGAGCTATGTGATCGTAAAACATGCAGTGGTGAACTTTCAATTCATAAACTACTTCTATTGTTCATTATTACTGTAGTTGGCATAAACATGAGAACTTTTTTTTCACTTGATTGAAAGCATTTCTTACCATCAGGTTGGCTATGGCATGCAAGAGGTCCAGTAACTCTGCCAAGGGCGCGGCAACCCCCACATCAGCATGATCAGCCCACACACACACACACACACACACACACACACATACATACATGGCTGCCTTGACTAAGGTCAACACAAAACTTAACACATTTCTAGGAAATGTGTCTCAACAGGGTCTCTTACACCTTCCTCACTAGCTAACCAGACACGAGTCGTCATTGCTCGGCTTGACTTCTCCGTCCAGCAGCGAATTCATCACCACCTTTGTCAAATAGCTGCATGTTCCTCTTCTTCCCAGGGGGGGAGTGTTGTAAAAGGAAGTCATGTCATCCTACAAATGAAAACAGTAAGCAAATCCTTTCATTTTTTGTTTGTAAAGAGTTGACAGATAAAATCACTGTCAGCCTAGAGGGAAAAATAAATTCACAGAAAGATTTCCTCATGGAAAATATGAGCTTCTTGAGTTTTTCTTTTATTTTCCTGAGGTGTCTTCTCAGCATATAAAACAAAGACAGACATTTTTAGTATTCTCCCCTTTGCTGATAATTTTTGTTTACTTAGGGAACCTTTTTATGAATAAGCATAAAATATTAAACAGGCCTGGAAGGGACTGTATTAGGTAGTCACACAGCACCAATGTAGCCTGTTACTCATGCCCAGCCTCCCCAGTATTTAATTTTATGGCCTTCTAGAATCTATGGCTCCTTTTTTGGTAGAACACATTTTAACTGCTAACTATATAAAGGAAATTTACTTCTTCCGAGATTTCTTTTTAGTCAGAACTTCACAGCTGAATTGACTAGTAATTAACTAAAAAGTAACAGTAATTCCTCAAATAAATCAGACTTCCCTCTTCCCGGCAAGTACTCTACTTTGTACTCTGTAAATCTGTTTTGTGAGTTAAGGGATATGAGATTAGGGATATTTTGAAGAACTGAGCCAAAGAAAAAATTCTACCAAAAGCTATTTTCTCTACTTACTTGCTTTTCAACTTCCTTCAGCCGACTCTCATCTTTTTGGAATTCATGAAATGCTTCTTTCACCAGTTTGTCTAGGTCGACTTTGTCTTGAAATTCTAGCTCAGGGTTTCTTTCCAGTACAATGGATACAACCATTAGTAACTAGAGGAGACAGACATTGAAAGCCAATTATATGAACTATAAAAGCAACAGAGTCTGGTTAGGTTTCCATTCTTTATTCAGACTGATGGATGAGCCACATATCCCACAGTGTGTTCTGTACAATGATGCGCTCTAGGGTCATCTATTGATGGAATCTTCCTAATCCTGTAAATTAGTACTACCATCAGTTCTGTTTGGAACAGAACTTTTTTTTCATTGTATGTATCCCTCTGTAGCTGTACAGAAATGTTTTCCAGTCACTTAAATGAAATTAGTAACTCCGAAAAAATGACTTTCCTAATCCTGACTATAGTACCTAGTGCCCCATTCACCCAAAGTGTCTGAACTCTCTCTGGCCTTCAGGTGTTCATCCTTGGTGGCAAGATACCAAATCCAGTGTCCAGTGGGGCAGAGGCCACCCCAGAAGAGGCGGTGGGCAACAAAGCCAGAGGAAGCAGCCGAGCTCAGCAGAGACTGGATCTAGGCTCACACCCCAAAATGAGTGTGATGCTGTAATGATGCGGTATTTCTCAGGGGATGGTTATATTTTAAACAACACATTTAACTCTGACCTCCTTCTGACATGAATACTATTTGGTCTGTATAAGCTGTTAGTTTAATGCATCATCCAACTGTCTGGCTACCCCATACATGTATCCTAAGTACTAATACCCATTTTACATGACAAACTCTAATACGCAAAGATTGTATGAGTATACAATGCTTGGTGGAGACTTTCTGATGATCATTATGGCTCCTACTTTGTACATGGAACAGGAAAAAGGCCTCATAGTTCCCAGCTTGGGAATCCTTCTCTCTGTACTTACTGAAATGCTTCTAAAACAGAATCTGAAAGAACCAAAGGAAAAAATCCAGGGTCACAATGTGGGAGAGCTTGGGGCAGGGCTTTAGCCAAAAAAAAAAAAAAAAAAATCAAAGTTTTTCTCAGGTTCTATTGGAAAATTTCTTCTGCAAAGAGAATGACCTCATTTTAGGGCTCTCCATGTGCACTGTAGGTCCCGGATATTGGGCAAAAGATACCAAAAGGTTCACAGCACAAGGAAGGCATCCACCCTTCTACTAACCCCATGTTTTCTTGACTCCAGTCTCTGCCTCCTTCCCACATGCTATGAGACTGATTGGTTGACACTCTTTCCAAATCCTGGCACATCAGAGATAAGGCTGAATTTCACTCAGCTGACTGTAGCTCCAGAAGTGCTGGATTTTAGGAGGTGCCACACCCTGCTCAGCACTCACTGAGAGCTTCTGTATCAATGAGACACATTATCTGCCCTCCAAGAAACACATAGTCTCATGGAGACATCCCCCGAGAGACAAAGGGAAGATGAGCTATAAATTATACCCATTCATTTGGGAAGATTCTCTATTTATTGCGTATAATGTTTTAAAATGTCATAAAGGCATGTGTACACATGTGCATGTACGCGTGTGTATTTTAGCATTTAACTTTTACACAGAGCAGTGATGATACAGAAAATTACATGCCTTCTCTATTCATGGAGAGGTATTTGGAAAGTTGTCCCTCAGAATATCAACAGTGATGATCTACTGCTAGTAGGTACAGAGGAAAATTTTTTGCTTTCTTTTCTGTAATTTTCTGAACTATTAAAACTTTCTACAATAGTCATGCATGATTTCCATAAACAGAAAAGACTGAAAATGAAACAAATAAAAAAAAGATCACTTCCTCTCTTTTATGGTGCTGATGCATTTACTGTGGGGGTGAGCACGCAGCTGAAAAAGGTGCGCAGTCAGGATTTACGATGTTTGAATTGTCCATGTGCCTTGACTTGGGTCAAGGATGACCATCCTCTCCGGGACTCAAGCAGAGGGAGAACTGGGTGAGGTGAGGAGTGGAGCTCCTGGTCTCTTGGGCAGCTTTCAGGGAGCAGACAGAAAGCACTTCTTTAGTAATCTACATTTTTAGATACAAACCTCCACAACGATCTGCCTGTACTTCGGCTGGTCAATATTTCCCAACATGTCTTCCACAAGGAGAGAGAAATTCATCTCATACATGGTCATGTCTGACAAGGTTGGTTGCTGAAAAAAATAACATTAACTTGCTGCATGGTTGTACTCTGGTTCCTGCCTAGTAGAGGAATTTCATTTTTGATTATTTTCCAGCTTCTACAAAACCTTAAGAGAGCATTTTCAGCTATATGACTGAATTTTATATATGTCAACCTACTGAAGCCAACCTGCTCACTACTGTGATAAATTAAACCTGTTTTTAGTAGTTATCTTCACCATATTGTTCTTAAGGAAAAGGGACTGCATTAGAAAGCCACTTCAATACATAAAAGGAACAGATAAAAATTGAGACAACAAATAAGAGTACATAATTGCTTTCAGAATTAATGCAAGAAGTTATGCTTGCTGTCAGACTTCAGCATGTAAGTCACTTGCTACTGAATTAACATCATTTCTGTGGCAGGTCCTTTCTGCGCTGGTGGCAAAAAAATGCACACAAATAAGCAAAAACATTATTTGCAGAAATGGCAAGCAAATACAGAAAAAGGTAAAACTAAAAGAGTTTCTCTACTCTACTCTTTATATTTCTTTTAAAACAAGAGTGTTGCAAAATCTTCCATTTACTTTTCACAAACTGAATGAAAGCAGAAAATAAACTCAAATCCAAGCCAAATCTGGGCATGGTGGACACTCTTCAAAGGATGGAAGGAAAGGCTCTAAACGTTAGGCTTGTATGGTGGAAAGCAGATGGAGTCATCAGAATTATAACCAGGTTTACAGTGAACTTAATCATAGCCTCAGAACAATGTGTATCTACTTACCACTCAAACTGGGACCCAGCAGAAATGTCCCCTTTCAATCAAGTGATAGCAATGTAATTCTGCCCAGTATAATAATGCCTCGGTCCTATATTCAATATGGTCCATCTGTTGTATTCTATATTCAATACAATCCAACATACTGTTAATGTTTACAGGTAGTACCCAATTTGGGGAAAATGAAGCCTGGCTGCTGAACAAGGTACAGGCATACCTTTTTTACTGTGCTTTGATTTATTGTAGATACTGTGGTTTTTTTTTTTTTTTTTTTTACCAATTGAAGGTTTGTGGCAACCCTGTGTTGTCAGATGATGGTTAGCATTTTTTAGCAATAAAGTATTTTTCTTTAAGGTACGTAATTTGGATTTTTTTTAGACATACTGCTATTGCACACTTAACAGGCTACAGTATAGTGTAAATATAACTTTTAAATAAACCGGGAAACCAAAATATTTGTGTAGCTTGCTTTATTGAGATGGTCTAGGACCAAACCTGCAATATCACAGGTATGCCTGTAATTATAACTGTGTATGTCTAGCAATGAGATCACTGGGGTTACAGAAGGAAAGCAACATCCTTTCGTAGTTTCACATCAATTTCCCTTTAATATATTTCATCTGAAAAGTCAGCCTAGCTGGTATGCAATATGACAATCAAACCTAGGGAAGAGACAACAAGGTTGCCTTATTTTCCACTCTCTGAAAGAAGTAGAAAGTGCAACGAAGAAGGGAAAAGGCTCAGAAATCAAACTGCTGGGGAAGGGGTCACTCTCTGGGTCGGCTGCTTCCCAGATGTGTGACCACGGGAAAATCACTTAGCTCGGCTTCAGCTTCCTCACTTGTCAAATGGTAATAATAAAGCACCTACCTCAAAGGAGTGTTGTGAGGATTAGAAAAGTGCCTGGCACATAAAAATACTTAACATATAGTTGTTAACAAAGAGGGAATACTAAGTAAGTGGCCCAGGCAATCAGACAATTAGAGGAAAATCTGGTTGGTAACACCGGGCTTGGGAAAGAAGCCAAGAAAAGGCTGCCGCAGCCCACTGTAGGCAGACCTGGGGCCCAGCAGAAGAAGCAGGACGTGAACAGCAGAGGCTGGTTCCCGGCCCACAGGGGACAGAGCTGCTCCACACAGCAGTCATGGAGTGTCTGGGAAAGGGCTGGAGCACCTACACTGGCAACCAATGAAAACCACTCAACAGTGTGTGAACAGCATAAAGCATACTTTTTACAAAGTTCTTATTCATTTTTTTGTGACTAAGTAATAGATTTGCAAAGTTCAAAACTGAAAGGTTAGAAAGGGTTTTCAGTGAAAAGCTCGCCCTGTTCCCCAACCCAGACCACAGTTTCTTTTCCCAAAGGCAAACAATGCTACCAATTTCTTGTGGGTCCTTTCAAAAACACTCTATGTACATATAAACAAAATGAGTATGGGTGTGTGTGGGAAGAATATTTGATTTTCACAGATAAAGAGATCAAACTAGTGGTTACCAGAGCGAGAGGGAAGGGGAAGGGGCATGGTAGGAAAAGGGGATTAAGACGTATAAACCACCATCTATAAAATAAATAAGCTACAAGTGTATATTGTACAGCACAGGGACATAGCCAACATTTTATAATAACTTTAATGGAGTATAATCCATAAAAACATTGAACCACTATGTTGTATACCTAAAATATAATATTGAAAATCAACTATACTTTAATAAAAAAGAATACTTTATTTGTATACTTTCATGAAAAATAATTTTGCTGATTTTCAAATGAAATAAATACAGTACTTCATTTTCAGAAGGCCTAATTATTCACATTTTTGCACAGGCAGAATGATTTAGGTGTCAGGATTAAATAATTAAATCAAAGAAGCAGGACAGTTTACATAACTTGAGAAACCATCTGCAGGAGAGGACACGGACAACAGTAAGCTACAACTTGAGTAAAACAAGTGATTTTCTAGTGACCTAAAAATTACTGCACTTTCCACATTCAACATGATTTTTAAGTAGTAATTTCCTTATCCACAGCATTACTGAGCCATCTTGTTTTTTGGGACTGATTTGGTTCTGTCTTAAATGTATGTTTTACTGTCTGTGAGGCCCCCCAGCACTGGCCCACTACCACTTGGTAGTCAAGGAAAGCCACCATTCACAGTAATGCCAACAAGAGAAACCCTAAATTCACTAATAACAAACAAAGGAAAAACAGACTGCTTGGCAAAAGGTATGGCCATATGGTTCCTTTAAACAGAGTACTTCCTTGAAACATCTGAAATATGATAATACAAACTTTTTTTTAATTAAAACACTACTTTTAAGCAAAATATCTGTTTGGTAACTACGGCAAGGCTTCTGTACTGAGGAACACTAAAACAGAAAAATAAAAGGACCTCCGACTGGGAAAAAATATCTCCAGTCCAATGGATCAGACTTCTTAGACTTCTTCTCTCTCTTCAGGTATGCAGATACCCCTCTTTTAAGCACTCTTAGAGAACGGCATAAGCAGAAAGCAGAAAGGTTATTCGAATGCAGAGGGGAAAGAATCATCTGCTCCTTCCGGTCCCTTCGGAAGGCCTTTTACTGACACAAACACAGTGGGGCTGTACCTGTGGCAAATGCTTCCCGGCTACAATGATGCCGTTGGGTGTGCGCTCCAGGATCTGCCACACTCTGTCATAGAACCCAGGGGGAGTTCTGTTCAAAGACCCATCGATCTGACGCCGGTTCAGCCAACATCTGTAGACCAAAAGAAAACGCCTCAGTTTTGAAAAAACAAGCCTGTTTGTGTAGAAAGCAGGGCTTTTATATGGATTAACTGTTCCAAGAGGGTGAGAGGTAAAAGCCAAAATCCATCAATGATGCATATCTACCATGTGTTATAGAGGTTACTAAATATTTCATAGTGAAAACAGAGCTCTGCAGGGAAGGAGAAAATCCCCAAGATGCTAAAAAATTGAACAGGCAAAATGTTATTCTCTAGTAAGTTTCTTACAACTCATTATGTGATCAAATATTTTCTAATATGCAAAGCAGCTCAGTTTAAAAACATAGGAGCAGCCAATTTCAGAATAAGTTTATGTGGTCCTGATACACAATACAGTGTTAAACTCCATGAAGCCATGGACATTATATATATACATACATACACATACATGCACACACACACACACACACCCCTACATATATATATAGCTTGATTGCTCCCCTACCCTTCTCCCAGAAAGGTGCTCAATAAACATTTGATTAGTAGAAGAATGCTCAAAAAAGGCATGATGGAGCTAATGAAATTATCTTACTTTAAACTTTATATTTTACGTTAAACTTTATAGTTTTCTATTTAAAAGTGGTCAAAGTACCAGTGCTGAAAAATCAGCTACAAACTCTTACATATCGTAACAACATATAGTGATGAGCCAAAATTCTAGATCTCTCCTTTTCATGGATTAAATGTTAAATCTTAAAGATATAATAGTTAACTTCATTCACAAACTGGTAAAGATGCAAAATTTGCATAATTTGAAAAGTATACACAAATGACATAGGAGTATATTCTTCCAAAAGCTGAAGACAGGAACAAATACAAATTTTTTTACACTGGTATTAAAACAGACAGCAGAGTGAAATATGTCATCAACCACAAGGCAGGAATGTCATGACCCACAATATTTCTAGGTGTGAAAACAGCTATGCAGGATGCAGTAAACAAACAAACAAAAAAGACATTTTTCTTGTGGTAAAAGATGACCAATAAAGTTACATCACTATGTAAGTGAGAGAGGTGTCTTTTTCGGATGTACAGTTTGTTTTCCCAGACCCAGACTTGTGTGGCTGGGTTCAGTGCTATGCTAAAGAGAAAAAGCCCGAAGGAGTAGGTATTCCTTGGTGATGTTTTACTTTGGATAATCGGTGTGCAAACTGAAAATCCTATACTCTGCATTTGATGTCTTTTCCTATTCCCCTTGTTTGGTGACAATTTAAAAAAATGTATTTTCAGAGTTCTGTGAGGTCATGGTTAATACTATAAAAAGGAGATGTTTGCTTAGAACATAAAAAGTAGAAATGTGTGAATACTCACAGTGGAGGAGAGAATTATTTTAGAACTCTCCTTTGTTTTTATTTTTTTGGCTTTTTATTTTGAAAAATCTTAGACTTACAGAAAAGTAAAAACAAATTAACAAAGTTCCTTTTTACTCAGCTTCTTCTACTTCTGTCATCTTGCATAACCAATAGTATAACTATCGAAACCAGGAAATAAACATTGATACAATACTATTACTCTATGGACCTTATTCAAATTTTGCCAATTTCACCACAAATTTTCTTGTTTCATTGTAGATCCAATCCAGGACCCTACACTGGATTTAATTTCCAAGTCTCCTTAGGCTCCTCTAATCTGTGACAGTTCCTCAATCTTCCTTTATCTTTCACGACTTTGACATTTTAGAAATGTCAGTTATTTTGTAGAACATACCTCAATTTAGGTTTGTCTGACGTTTCCTCATGATTAGACTTAGATCATGAATTTTTCGCAAGAATGCCCAGAAATGGTTGTATCCTCTACAGTACATCATATCAGGGGGTATGTGATGTTGATGGGTCTTATTACTGGTGATGTTAACCTTGATCATCTGGTTAAGGTGGAGTCTACTGGGTTTCTTGTTCACTGTAAAGTTACTATTTTGCCTTTTGCAATTAAAAAGTATCTTGAATGGAAACACTTCAAAATTATGCAAATTTTCTATTTCTCATCATACTTCCACCCACTAAATACAGCATCCATTGATGGGTCCTGCCTACAACAATTATTATTGTTTCTATTTCCATCATTCCAGCTACACTTTTAATTTAATTTAATTTTTTTAATTTTATTGAGTTATAGTCAGTTTACAATGTTATGTCAATTTCCAGTGTGGAGTACAATTTTTCAGTTATACATAAACATGCATATATTCATTGTCAAATTCTTTTTCACAGTGAGCTACCACAGATCTTGTATATATTTCCCTGTGTTATCCAGTATAATCTTGTTTATCTATTCTACATATGCCTGTCAGTATCTACAAATTTCGAACTCCCAGTCTGTCCCTTTCCACTCCTCCCCACCCCTGGCAACCACAAGTTTGTATTCTGTGTCTATGAGTCTGTTTCTGTTTTATATTTATGTGTTTTGTTTTGTTTTTTTTTTTAGTATTCCACATATGAACAGTCTCATATGGTATTTTCTTCTCTTTCTGGCTTGCTTCACTTAGAATGACATTCTCCAGGGACATCTATGTTGCTGCAAATGGCGTTATGCTGTCATTTTTATGGCTGAATAGTATTCCACTGTGTAACTATACCACTACTTCTTTATCCAGTCATCTGTTGATGGATATTTAGGCTGTTTCCATATCTTCACTATTGTAAATAGTGCTGCTATGACATTGGGGTATGGGTGTCTGTTTGAAGTAGGGTTTCTTCTGGATATATGTCCAAGAGTCGGATTACTTAAGTCATATGGTAAGTCTATTCCTAGTCTTTTGAGGAATCTCCATACTGTTTTCCACAGTGGCTGCATCAAGCTGCATTCCCACCAGCAGTGTAGGAGGGTTCCCCTTTCTTCACAGCCTCTCCAGCGTTTGTCATTTGTGGACTTTTGAATGATGGCCATTCTGGCTGGTGTGAGGTGATACTTCATTATAGTTTTATTTGCCTTTCTCTGATAATTAGTAATATCGAGCATTTCTATCTACACTTACTAATTGGAATTCTATTGCAATAAGAGTCCCTTCTTTCCCATTTATCTACTTATATCAGTACTGACTCATGGATATTTATTCTATGGGATATAATCCAATATTATCATTATTTATTTTGTTGTTCAAATTGCTCCAGCTTTGGCCATTGAGCCTCCTTCACATTGTCTCCAGTATCCCTCTAACACATCTCTATAATATTTTTGGAGCACTTTCTGGTACCACAAGAAGCTCCAGGCTCATTTGTATTTTTTCTGCCCCAGCCCTGGAATCAACCATTTCTCCAAAAAAAAAAAAAACCAAAACCTTGGAAAAATTAGAAAAATGGTATTGAGAAATTGATATGTGGGCACTAGGTTTGTTCATTGTTGTTGGTGTTTCATTACTTCTAGGTCCTCTCGGTGGACAGAGTTAGGAAAGATACGGCTGTATGCTCACATACAGGTATACACAATCACATTTTTCTGTATCTATCCATTTAGTTAAAAAACATGAATTCTCATAGTGATACTTCCAATTCCAATCCAATACCACAGGGTATTTTCTAGCCACCCTCTTTCCTTCTTTGTAACTACATTCTCCAACAGTGAAAACCCTGGCTCTCATTAGCCACAATATTATTTACTTTTTTATTCAATCTTAGTGTGTACATATACACACACTATATATATATAATTTTTATATAGTTTATTTATATATTTATATATATAGTTTAATGTATTTACATATAATTTATATATATCTTAAAATTTCAGAATTGCTAATTCCTACCTCTATGAGAGAGAAATTTATTATAGAGTACAGTATTCATGTGCAGTGCTTTTTTTGGTTTAGCTTTACAGTGTCCAGTCAATGTTTTCCAAAGGTATGTTGGTTAATTCTTGTCTTCCCCTCCTCCTTCAATGTGGTAATATTACCCGTTTGTAATACAGTGAGGTTCATTTGTCACTGGTTGTAACCTATTTTGGGTACCTTCCACCTGGATTAATTTTAATTAATTATTTATGTGTGGGGAATATAAAACATTAGCACAGTTTAAGACCCAGAGGTATACAAAAATGTATATATTGCTCTGCCCTGTAACCCTACTGCACTATACCTGCATTCCTTCCATCCAGTTCCCACCCTCTCTGAAGGTAACTGATCTCATCAGTTTCTGGTTTATCTTTCCTATATTTCATTTGCACAAATGAAGTGTAGCATACTATATTCTATTGTACTTTTGCTGTTTTTATTTAACAAGATAGCCTAGAAATTACCCCATATCAGTCTATAGAGACCATGCTCATTCTTTTTTCACATAGTATTCCATTGTGTGGATATGTACAGTTTTTCAAATAATCCCCCAGGCTTAGGTCACGAGCATTACAAAATTCGCAATTATAAACAATGATACAATGAATAAACTTGTGCATATATATTTTCATATTGTTGGAGGCTTATCGCCAGGGTAAACTGCTAAAAGTAAGACTGCTGGGTCAAAGAGTAAGTGCACAAGTAGACTTTTTTTAGATGCTGCCAAATTCCCATACAGAAGGGTGTACTCACCAGCTATATGTGAGAGTGTGTTTCCCCACGGCGTCAGCAAATGTTCATTACACTGTTTAACTTTTGCCAGTCTGATAGATGAGAAATGCTATCTCAATATGTTTTAATTTACACTTCTCCAGTTATGAGTTAGTTTGAACATCTTTCTGAATATTTAAGATCTATTTTAAAAATATTTTAAATGAATTGATCAATTATGTATTTCCTTAGGTTTTTGGTTCTTTGTCCCTCAATTTTTAAGATTCCTGGATATTAGCTCTTTGTAACATATGTTTTGTTCCAGTTTCTCAGTTGTCTTTGGCATTGTCCTTTTTTTTTTTACCATGCAAAATGTTGTTTTTAATTTATATATAGTCTTATTAATCTCTTATTGGCCCAGGGTTTGAGTGTCAGTTAGAAAGCCTTTCCCATATTAAGGTTACAAGAGAATTTATCCATGTCTTCTTTTAGCACTAGTAGTGTCATTTTTTTACATTTAGATCATTAATTTCTTTGGAGTTTATTCTTGTATACAGTATAAAATATGGATTTTATTTTGTCTTTTCCAAATGACTATCTAGTTGTCCCATCACTGTTTATTTAAAAAGTCCATCCTTGACCTGGTGATTTGAGATGTCACTGTTATCATACACTAAATTTCCATATGTGCCTGGGGTCTATTTCTGGACTTTCCAGTCTGTTCAACTGTTCTATTTATCTGCTCATGTACTAGTATCATATTATTTTAATTATAGAGGCTTTTAAATATTTTTATTATCTCTTAGGACAAGTCTTTATTTTATTTTTTTTCTGGTAATTCTCACATTTTTTTATATCAATATGAAGCTTAATATTAACTTGTTTAACTCCAACAGCTTGTTGGAACTTTACTGGAAATGCATTAAATTTGTAACAGACACCTTTAAAATGTTGAGTGTTCCTATCTAAGAACAAGGATGCCTTTCCATTTGTTCAGATCTACTTTTGTAGAAGACTTCTTTTCGAGGCATTTTAAGCATATCACTATAACACCTTGGAAAGTACCAAGCACACAAAGACTGCTCAGTAAATGCTTGCCTAAATAATTATGTTAAAGTTCTTCCTGTAATAAAAATAACTCTTCAATTCAATACAATCCATATTTATTTTGCTCTTATTCTAAGTTTAGATAAGTTAAGTCTAAGACAGGGTCTGGCCCAGAAGAAGTTTACAGTCTAATTAGAGTGACAGAGTTACAGACAAGATTGTTTATATAACATTACCAAAGCCAAACTTCCACACCAAAATGTTGGGAGGAGATGGTGAGCACTACAGAGGATCAGAAAGGATATTGACCAAAGTGGTATGAAGTGTTACATTCTGCACAGAATAATAAAAATGAAGTAATATTTACAAACTATACCCAAAAAACGTAGAAAATTCAGGATAACACAAAATCACAACTGAAGACAAACATTTTAATCAGTGTCTCTGTGTATATGGCCCATCTAGTATAGTGGTCTAGTGGTCTCTGATACAATGCTGTATTTTATTTCTTAACAATGTCTTACTAATTACACATACATATTATAAATATTTTTATTTATATAATATATAATATATAATATATATATAATTAGTAAGACATTGTTAAGAAATACATATAATGTTGTTATAAATCCAGAGTGTCCTGTAGGTAACAAAGGACCCTCATTACCTTCCACTCTGTTGAGGCTGGAGAATATCCAACAGAAGCTGTTTCACTTCACTAGGTGAGAGCTGATATAAGTCCTTGGCTGGCTTGTTTCCACCACGGATCTGTAGTTCATACTCCATAGCATGGATGATCCACCTGAAACAAAACAGGGGAAGAAGCATGAATCAGTAGCTCCTGAAATAAAATCATCTTGTGCTTCTCACGACAATACGCTTAACAGCACTGACCCATCCAACAAGGAATGATGAAAAGGCCATTTAAATTTCCTGAACTGCTGATATAATTACCTCCATCAAGATTACGTGACATCATCAGACTCTTAAAAAATGAGGCCTGCTCTTGCATATATAGTTAGGTAATAAAACCTGAAAACAGGCAGGGACTCAGGTTCTTACCAAATGAGAGTCTACTAATTTGGTACAGTGGTATACAGTGCACAAAGAGCTGCCACACTACTATTATTTTCTTATTAATTTTCTTAATACTCGACACATGCAAAAAACAAATAGAATAAAAATAATTCATTTTAAAAATGGGCTGAGATATGCTATTATATATAAATGTTCCTTTCCCAGTAAAGACAAATTTTTTTTTTACCTACTTCCTTTATTTTGCAGTCAGTCCCTTGTAATTGGAAGGAGAAGTGTGTGCCTTTGAAATATAGGAACACAGTTATAATTTAATTATAGTAGCATAGATGGGAACATACTTTAATCAAAAGATTTCAGAAGAATCTATTCTTTACCAGATATTTAAATGCTGACCATAGAAAATGTTTTCATTACAGAAAGAGCTTCAATATAATTCTTTAGAAAAGCACTATTTGCGTGCCTGGTATAGTTATATGCTTAGAAATGTCTAAAATATTTAATTATTTTATGTGTAAGTATTTTATTCTTTAATTTGAGGAGCTTTTAATAAGTATTTTTACAGTTTCATCTCATTTCATTTACTGTTTTCTGAGGAAAGAACTTAGGTAAACTAGTTATGCAAACCAAAGAAAACTCTGGAAAGAATACTGTGCCTTAGGGAACCAGAACTCTGCATACCGTGAGGAAAAGTGAGGGAATTAGTTTTACACAAATAAAAGCAGATTCCTGTGCTTCATCCTTACACCCTTTGTGAACACTGAATAGCAGACAGAGACGGAGAAGCTCAGCATCTGGAAAGAATGTGTCTTCATTCACTCGTGCTCTGTGGAGCCAGGCCACAGGTAGAAATATCTAGTTACAGCAACCAAGATTTAAAGTAGAGAAGTTCCTGCATTCAGATATATCAATATCTTTCTCTTGATTCACTTCTTCAAAAGACTGCCCACAAGGTTATTATAGGTACAGAGATGAAAAAGTTAGGTGGAAATAAGGATTATAGTCCTTCTTTCTGCCAATGATGGTTTGCAACACAACACTGATGCATCCTCAAGGGATGACCTTCATGTCTCTCAATGCAGAAGATGGTAAGAAAAATGCCTTCCCAGTTGAGCCAGAAGTGATATTAACCAAGCACATCACCCTGCCTGCTGGGCCGGGCAGAGGCCACACGGCAATGTGTCCCTGCTCTGTGACTGCTCCAGGCTCACTGCCCTCTGCTAAGGCAACTCTCAGCTCTTTTTCCTACCCTCTTCCCTCTTCTTTGTTGTCGCCATTTATGGAAGTTTGGAACTTAATTAGTTTGCCAATCAAAAGCAGATTATGTGTTGCATGACACTGAGACAGATTATAGAGGCATGAGAGAGACACAGGATGAGACAGAATAATTAAAAAAATACAGATCATTACTATTACCACTGATAGTACATGATACATATTTAACAGTTGCTCTTATGTAAGAACAGTAAAGATGACAAGGTATTTACAAACAATAAAATAAATGTGCACTTCCTGATATGTGCAACAGAAGAACATGTGACAGAAGTAGGATTTACAATTTGCACTTCTCAAACCAGCTGAAAAGAAAAGCTGAGCTAAACCTATACTATTGCCAAAGACTAGAATTTCTTTACCTGTTCACCTTCATTATTACAAACTGCATTTAGTCAAATTATTATTCAAGCATTAAAGTCATAAGGATATAGTTACTTCAGATGTTTTAAAGTTGCTTATGAAATCAGTTGTTACAGCAACATTTCAGTTACAATAAACTGCTCCATGGACTCTCCTTAATTTAAAAAAATTCTATTTTTAATTCTACAGATTAGAGAAGTTGTCTTCTATTTATTATTCTATTTCTTTATTAGGCATTTACAATCTACATTTAAGGCAGCTTATAACAGAAGAAACATCAATGTAAAAATCTAAAGACCAGCCTTTAGTTCCCCACAAACAAGATAATGGCATGAAAAGAAAAATGGGGGTAGGGTGGACTGTTCTAGATTAAAAGTGACTTAAGAAATGTAACAACAAATGCCATGTGTGGGCCTTGTTTGGGATCCTAGTTTTTTTTTTTAAAGTCATTTTGGAGACAACCAGAGAAATATAAATAAAAATTGAGTATCAGGTAATATTAAAATTATTGCTAATTTTGGTGAGTGTGATAATGGTACTGTGGTTATTAAGAAAGTGTCCTTTTTTCTTACTTTAGATATATATTTACTAAAATATTGAGGGGTAAAAATCAAAATGTCTGGGATTTATTTTATAATCTACAACAACAAAAAAGATGAAGCAAATATGGTAAATGTAAATTACTAACAATTGCTTATATCCATTTAAATAATGGCTACATGGACATTTACCAAATTATTCTCTTACTACACATTTAAATTTTTTCATAATGAAAAGCAAAAACAATAAAGACAGACATGAATACTAATTCTGTCACTTACCAACCGAACCCCATTTGCAAGTTATTTTTCAAATGGGAATATTACTATTACTTGTTCAGCTCATTTTATGAAATTACTTTAAGGAATAAATAAGACAGTGTTATGTTAAAAGGTTTCTGAAATTATAGAGTTCAGTTGTTATGTTCAATTGTTATATTCAAATTATGTTAGCAAACTCCTTTTATTTGACTTTTCTAGGAAGGTAATACAATTTTAATTCAAGTCTAAGTGCCACATCCATTTAACTCAGGAGGTATCCTCTTCTAAACTAAGTAACTTTAAGTTTCTTAAAACATTTTTTTTAAGGTCCTCCAAAAACTTGAGTTATTAAAACTAAACATTATCTATTACATTTACTTTTAAAATCTTCATTTTATTTTTTAAAATTTTTTGTTATTTTGGGGGGGAGATAATTAGGTTTTTTTCTTTGTTTGTTTGTTTATTATTTTTAATGGAGGTACTGGGTATTGAACCCAGGACCTCTTGCATGCTAAACAAGCACTCTACCAACTGAGCTATACCCTCCCTCTTAAAATCTTCAATATCATGAGTAAAGATAGTTGGAGATCTAAAAATTTCCCCTCAGGCTTCTGTTTACAAAATCTCACAGTTCTGTGAGCAAATTATAGAAAGCATTGCACTCAACAGCCACCAAAGAAAGGTGGCTGTTCTTCATTCATTGGAGCACATATAACTTATTTGCCAGATTGTTAAAACACATTATTTATTCAAAAATACTGGCCAAACTAATATTTTTAGCTTGGAACTCTTCAAAGACTACAATACAAACAGCAAAACAGCCTCAGATGTGAACTACTACACAGCAATCAGAGGCTTAGAGAAAGTAAATAACCAAGTGAATAACACAGCTAAGAAAACCAAAGACATTTTATCCATTTTTAGAACTACTGATACAAAAGGGCATCGATTCCTTTGCATGGGAAAATCTGCCTTCTTGCCCTGATTGCTAATGACAGAGTCACCACACCTGATCTGACAATCTCAATGTAAAAGCCCTTAATGCAAAGTGGGGAAAGCAAGCAACTGTGGAAGGTCAAAAGAACGAAGGTTATCCTTGGACCAGGTCCTTATAAATTCAGTCTGTCCCAACCAGGGACATGCTCTACTTGCTAATAAGCAAATGAGAAAGTGCCAGATACACACGACTGACCAGATCAACCTTCAAACGTATCATGGTTTGACTTGAGGACGATGAATTCCTCCGCACTGCTGGAAAAGTGTGGAGAGGCGGACTAGTATTCCCCTACAGTTCTGAGAATAAACAAGCTTATCCTTCTAAATACTCTCTTGATGTGAGGTTAGTTAGCATATTGTGCATGTATTGGCATTTTTCTTTCCAACCTGCCCCAATCGAGGAGAGTATATAAAATAAAGTACATGGAAGTATGACATCATTGGTAAATCAGACCAGCTGCCATTTTTCTAAAAAAAATGCCATAAAGCACAGCAGTGATTCATAGCAAGAAACAACTTTTAAAGTAATCATTTTGAAGTTATTTCAAGATACTAAGACGTATTTCCCAAGTTTACTGTTAAACAAATGAACAGAGAACGGTCTGTGTAAGCATTTTACCAAGTTATATGATGGGAGAATGGAAGTTGCAAGAAGGGACTGTTTTGTTTGTTTCATGTCAACATGGACAGAGTGACAATTTGATGAGGCAAAGTGAGCTTCCTGTTTGGTGAATGTTGATCACTCACAACTCTTATGTCCGATCTAATCAGAATGGAATAGAGGCAGGAGAACTCCTCATCTCACTTCCTTACCTCATACCATATGTCAAAAGCAAAATCCTTTGAATGAGTATCAAACCATGCTAATGACCTCAGAACTGTAATTGTCTCCTTTTTCCTTTACTGCCCACGCAGTGTTACTCTCTGGTACCTATGACACCAATGGCTCTCCCTAACCACTGGATGTGTGATCCACAGATGCAGCTGTGGGCGTTAGAAGACAAGACATGCATGGATCATAACTGCTTACAGAGGATGTCCTGGTGGTATGAAAAGCAGGAATGAAAAAGGCTTCATAACATATATCCTCAAGGGCTATCTCTCACTAAAGCCTGAATGACAGACCCAGAGCAGAAAGCAGTTGATTGGAGGTCTTCACAGTAATGGGCCTGTCAGGAACTTGATCTATTTCAACATGAAAGCTGGAGCACAAATCAATAATGAGACAGCAAATCAAATCATTATCAGACTGGAATACCATTCCTGTGAGCAGGTTAATTCTGTTCACTGGAGTGCCTGACAGCAGTAAGGTTGAAGAAATTGCATTGGCAGGATT